TCTGAATTCACCAATTATTTAGTTGTTACACACCATAGTTCCAGTAGTTTTTAAAAATATATATAGATAACGTACGCCCGGCGTACTTACTCGATGAAGTCGATAATCGATGAGTATCGATATCAATCAATACCAATCGATATTTATCAATCGATTGATATTGGAAATCGATGAATAATCGATGGCTTCTTTTGCTGTGACTTTCATCGATTGATCATCGATTTATTATTAATTTTCATTGATGAAAAAATCCTCGTTAATATGCATGCAATCAAACAGGTAACGCCGTAATTTAATTAATACGTACTTTAATGTCGTAACAAACTCAAATGTGAACGGAATTCAGTAAAAATGGATTAAATTAAGTTTTCATCTAGGAATTTGTGTGCACCAGTGTGCACCAAAGAGGGATTATTGGGGAAGTTGTGCACCAATTTGTGCACCGATTGCAGCCTTTGTGCACGGCACATGTGCCGTGCACATCGCCTTCATCCCATACTGGAGCACAACGGCTCCAAAATCGCAACAAATAACAGAATATAAGGTAATTTAAAAACAGTAAAGCTTTACCCATAGGCGTACGGGACGGGGGGTCAGCAGCCCCAAAAGATTACAAAGTCGAAAAGTCGGGCAAATGTTCAACAAAAGTCGGGCAAAAGTCGGGGAAAAAGTAGTCAAAGTAATAAAATATCTCGTAATAATCCCAGTTTGTTGGGCAAACCAAGCCAGTTGAGCAATATTCGCTTCACAGTCGGGCAATATTGGGTTATTATAAAAATAAATGGGATAAATTCTGCCAATTTTGCGGGAAATTATGTAAATTTTGTGATGTTTGGGAAAATTTGTTTGATGTTCCGAAAAATTTTGGTATGTCCGAAAATTTTTTGGACCCCTAAAATGGTACACTGACCGAAATTTTTTTGGCGACGGGGGGGGGTGGGGGGAGGGGGGAGATCGCCAACTGGTCGGGCACAATTCGAAAAAGTCGGGCAAATTTCTTTCTGCCCCCCCTAATGTTTTCCTTCCCGTACGCCTATGCCTGTTTACCTACCTCGATTTATTTTTCTAAGGCGCTCAATTATGTACATTTTCGGCGAGTAATCAATATTTTCTTTGCGTTTCCTCGACGAAAACCCGGCATGAAAATGCTCGTCGGAAAAACTCGGTATTTGTCGCGAGCATTTTACGAATCTGCCACGTGACTGGTACGCTCACTGCTCACCGCGACGACACGAAATTTAGAGCTATATGAAAGTTGCATGCCATATATGGCATGCAACAAAAACAAAAACAAAAAGCCAAGCCGGAAATATCCCACATTGTACGTGCTCAACTAGCCTTTCTTACGCCATGCGACTAGGCCTTGTCTACCATTTTTGGGTGGCAAACCGTTCGGCAACAGAGGATGACAAGTGTATAGGTGATTTAGAGAAGTAAAACCCTGTAATGCTTATAAAGAAAAGTAGCCTACTGCGCACGCTTTTTACTTCACTTTTCAGTCCTGTGAGGTTTTGCAAGGGTGCCAACTCTCCCGGATTATCTGGGAACCAGTGAAAAATGAAGTTGTAGTAATAGCCAAGGGGGACCGATCAATCGTCACAAAAACCATTCTCTCAAAAGGCTAAATCCGTAGATGAAACTGATTAAGTACGTCTCGACTGAGAAAAAAGACGATATACTAGAGGAACTTGATTTGTAAAATCTCGTTAAAGCAGTTGTAGATATGGTTCCAAGAAGAATAGATTTAGTTTAGATTTTTAACTGTTAAATACATGTATGCATTATCATAGCATGAATATTTTTTCTCAGACTTATTCTGTATCGTATAAAAAAGCAACGTAATTTTGAGAATGCGGAAATGGTGTCTCATAGAACCTAGAATGATTTAAATGCAACATTTCTGATCAAAATCACATTGGGATTTTCTCACCCCAGCAACACAGGAGAAATAAGGTGACACTGACCCCTCCTCCTGTTTTTCAAGATGACTTTTCCAATTTATTTAATTCCGACTAGAAATGTCCGGGAAAATTCATGTCTTCGATGTATTTTATAATCTTCTGAATTCTGCTAGATTTCACCCCAAAAATGCCTTGAAATCGCATTTCAGGGACTCTAGATTTCAAATTTTTCCGTGGGTGCATGCCCCCGGAACCCCCTAGACGGTCTCACGCCTTCGACGTGAGCTTCGCCCACCCAAAAATTAAGGTCTGGCTACGCCACTGCTGGGAACCTCTAAGTTTTGAACTCCCCCAGTTTCCAGATTTTCTCTTAATCTCCCAGACAATCGCCGTGGTCAATACACCATTCTGGAAAGTGCTCAGTGCCTCAGTAGTATAAAACCTAGTTACAATTTATCTGAAAGTTATTGTAATTGATCTGAGTTTAGAATCCTTTACAAGTTGACACATTTATACGAAAGCATACAGTTACAGGTTACAGTATATTACCTCTCTCCTCCGCAGAGGTTTCAATGAGCTTTACATGGCGTTTACCGTATCGAACCGCTGTGTGGAAGACGCGCAGAAACCTCTGCGGAGGAGAGAGGTATATTACTCAAAACCTCTCTCAAATTCTCTCGGGCCGCCAAAACGAGTCATGTATACATGTCAAAACATTCCTATCTAACATCGTGAAATCGACAATTTGAAAATGACGACATCTGATTGGTCTGCGGGGAATTGTGCTGAAATTACCTAATAATAGTTTGACATTTTAGCAGTAATAGGCCTAGGAGTGTAGTCGCATTCCCTGAATGTTTTGACAGGAAAACAAAACACGTTTTTTCGGTTGAGAGGAAGCATGCGCAGTTTTTGTAGTATCAGTGAATATAAAATACCTTTCTATAATTATGTCATCAATAATTACACTGGCCTGTAGGCCAAGTGTCTTAAATCCCTCTTTTTCTGTTTTTTTTTCGTAGTCGAGAAATCGAGTTTGCGTTAGCTCATCGCAGGCTCAGGGTGCAACGATGAAGCCAAAATGCCATCGATTCCCTCGGTTCCATAATTTAGATAATATAGTAATAAGCTCGCATTTATGTACGTAATAGTCGACTCATGCCATGCTTGTGGTACATTTTTCGTTTATTAGCTCATACACTTGTACGCACGCGCAAAATTCCGGACTCCAATGGCGGCTTTTCACAGAGTGATCAAACTATATTTTACACAGTTTCGTTGAATTTTCGCAGAATTGTGCCGGTTTCCTACTGTGTAACGACTCGAAAACCACAAAATTTGGAC